CATGAAAATTGACCTAGGGCCGAATGATATACATCAAAAATCATGGCTAATGAGGCTAGAACATTGGTCAATACATGCATGCACATATACTTAGGTTCGGGGGTGAAAATGGCTCGATTTCACTTAACAAATTGACCGAACAAATGAACTCAAAGCATGAAACTGTTTTAACCATGTCATACTCATGATTTTTGAGGATTTTTAAGATACTAATCTCGGCCATATCATGCATGTACCATAACTTACGAAATTAGGGCTTAAATCTTCAAAAATCCAAATCTCCATATTCTTCTCGTGCATGGCATCATTTTTGTACATGATAAATCTTATTTTATCATGAATAAGCTAGGAAAAATGAAAGTCACGAGCTAACCTTGCTCGAGCTCGCGAATGGTGCTAATGGCCTTTGCTCGGGCTCGCAAATGGCCTAGGAGACTAGCCTCGACTTAGGGGCTTGAATGGCTGAGGAGGATAGCTTCAAGAGACTTAGAAAAATCCAAACTAAGCTTGGATAATGATAAGCCTCGAGATAACTAGGCTGGAACAAGCTGGACACGAGCACTCCTCTTCCCCGGGGCACACGCGCGCGCGGCTAGGCTTGCCTTGGCTTGCTCTCGGTTTTTCTCTTGTTTTCCCTCAATGTGCTAAGTGTTATGCTCGAAAATTATGAGTATCCAAGAGCTCTAACACTCAGCTGAAGGTGGCCTTATAAGGGAAATGCATGGGCGGAGAAAACAATGCTCAAAGTGGAGACACACACACATCACATGTGCATGGGGACATGGTTTGGGGCTGTTTGCACGAACTTGGAGGGTTTGCAGGGGCATCTTGACTGACCAAGGCATTAAAATATGATGGAGAGCAGGTCTGGTCGGTCCCAAGGTGGAGGAGGAGGTAGTGGGGGACAATGCCTTACACACTTGAATAAAATATTCCACAAGCACATGCTCCACTTTGGCTTAATCATAGGCTGACTTCCTTAACACTTTCTTAGGGACATCTTAGCCCTAAATGACCCTCATTAAGTCCTTAATACACGCAGCATTGGGTCATGGAAGGAAGTGGGCCGGAATTTCAAGAATTGGGCTCCAAATGATGGGCTGTCGCTGCTGGCGCTGGGCTGGGCGCGCTGGGCGCGAGCTGGGCTGCACACGGCCCTGGGCTGGGCGCTGGGTTGCGCGAACGGGCCTGTGCACGCGGACTGGGCGCGGGACAAACCTTGGACCGAGAAAAATGACTTTCTAAGGCATAAATGACATGGCCCATGATCCTATCTTGATGCATAATACTTAGAAAAATTCCAAAGGTGTTTGGCCATGACTTGGGCCACCATACTTGACTCGCGCGAGGCTAGGGTGCGGGTACTAGGGCGCGACTCATGGCCCGACTTGGAATGCACTTGAACCGAGGCTAACCCTTGGCTAGGGCTGAAAAATGGCCACACTTAGGTGCCACCAAACCTAGGAAAATCCCCTCAATACTTGGTCATGACTTGGTGCGAACTCGGCACGGCTTTGGCCCGAACTCGCGAACCCTAGGCGCGAGTGATCTCGGGGCCACGCACGAACTAGGTGCGGTATACTAGACCGAGGGAATAACATCCAACGCTTGAAAAATATAATCTCATCCTTAGAAATATTCTAAGTAAGGCTATGAGCATGGCTAGGGCTCGAACAAGACTCGAGACAACTAGGGCTCGAGAATTGGCTAGGCGCGAACTAGGCGCGATACTCGCGACCGAACAACTCGGTTCCGGACACGGCTAAACTTGGACGATTTATCGAAACAAACTCGGTTTTGATTATTCGACAACTGAAATAACTAATTCCGACTGAATAAAATCCATTACTAAAATAAATGGACCGGAATTAATAACTGAGATTGGATAGCTGATAACTGGGCTCGGAACTCAAGACGAGCAGTATTAATAAAAAGAAATAGTTCAACTGGGAACTAAAAACTGTCATTTTTATTAATACAGAACTGGGCTATTACAATCTATCTCCCTTAAAAATATTTCCGTCCTCGGAAATGCTAAACTGGAGAAATACATACAAGAGCTGAAAATATATACAACTGGGTACATATCAGAACTCAAAATCTGGAAAACGAGCTCTAACATCTGCCTCGCGCTCCCATGTGGCATCTGAATCTCCGTGGCGATTCCACCTGATACGAACGAGGGGAACGTCTCGGTTCCTGAGCCGAAGGACCTTTCGATCCAGAACCGCTACCGGCTGCTCCCCGTAAGTCAAATCTGGCTGAAGCTGAATCTCGCTGTGCTGAAGCACATGCTCGGGATCGCACACGTATGGGCGTAGCATCGAAACGTGGAACACGTTGTGCACGCCAGCCAACTCGGGAGGCAGAGCCAATCGATAGGCGACTTCGCCCACTCGCTCGAGAATCTCGAACGGGCATATATAGCGAGGATGCAACTTCTCTCTCTTCCCGAAGCGAACGACACCTCTCATCGGTCGAACCTTCAGGAATACATGATCTCCGGGCTCAAAGTGCATCTCTCGTCTATGCTTGTCGGCTGAGGACTTTTGCCGACTCTGAGCTGTCTTGAGCCTCTCTCTGATCCAGGCTACCTGCTCGGCTGTCTCCTCGATCAACTTTGGACCGAGTACTCGTCGCTCTCCGACGTCATCCCAATACAGGGGCGATCGACACTTGCGGCCGTAAAGTGCTTCGTAGGGAGCCATCTGAATAGATGCCTGATAACTGTTGTTATAGGCGAACTCAGCTAGTGGCAGCCACTTCTCCCACTTAGCACCTCTGTCCAG